ATCAATGCAGCTCTTTCCTTATTTATTTTCTGTCTGGTTGATCTATCCATTGATATAAGTGGTGGATTAAAGTTCCCTAATATGATTGAGTTGCAGCTTATTTCTCTCTTTAGTTCTGTTAGTATTTGTTTTATATATTTAGGTGCTCCTATGTTGGGTTGATAGACATTTGTAATTGTTATATCCTCTTGTTGGACTGATCCCTCTATCATTATGTAATGTTCTTGTCTCTTATTACTTTGTTTTGAAATGTTTTGTCTGAAAGAAGTACTGCTATTTCTGCTTCTTTCTCCCTATTATTTGCATGAAATATCTTTCTTCATCCCTTCACTTTCAGTCGTGTATGTCTTTGGGTCTGAAATGAGTCTCTTGTAGGGAACATATTGATGGGTCTTGCTTATCCATTCTGCCATGCTATGTCTATGGATTGGTGCAGTCAGTCCATTTACATTTAAGGTAATTATTGGTAGGTTTTAGTAACAGTTTGCCAGTTGTTTTTGTAGTTCTTCTGTGATAATTTCTTCCTCTCTCCTACTCTTCTTGCTATTTGATGCTTTTCTTTAGTGTTGTGATTGGATTTCTTTTTTCGTTTTTTTTGTCTCTCTACTATAGCTTTAGGTTTGTGGTTATCATAAGGTTCAAGGATAGCTTCCTAGCAACATAACAGTCTAAAATAAGTTGATGACTACTCTATTTCAAACACAGTCTAAAGTACTTTTTTATTCCTCTTCCTTCTCCACACTTAATTTATTAAATGTCATAATCTGTACTTTTTTGTATATCCCTTGACTGATTTTGTGTACAATTAATTTTACTACATTTTTTTAAGTAAGCAATTGGTCTACTACCTTTACTGTGGATGTATTTTCATTGGTGAAAAATATTTAGGCTTAAGAACATTTCCATCTACAAAAGTACCTTTAACATATTCTGTAAGGTTGGTTTAGTGGTGGAGAATTTTTTCAACTTTCATTTATCTGGGAAACTTTTGAATTTCTCCTTCAATCTGAATGATAACCTTGCTTGGTAGAGGATCTTGGTTGAACTTCCTTCTGTTTCAATACATCAAATATATCATGCCACTCCCTTCTGCCCTGTAAGGTTCCTGCTGAGAAAACTACTGACAGCCTTATAGGGTTACCTTTATAAATAATCTTTTGCCTCTCTCTAGCTGCTTTCAATACCCTCTCTTCATCCTCAATCTTTGTCTTTATGTCTTGGTGGTGTCTTCCTGGGGACCCTTTTGTTAGGAGGTCTCTGTGCTTCTGGGAACTCGGTGTCTATTTCCTTCCCCCAATGGAGGAAATTTTAAGCAATTATTTCTTCAAAGACTTTCTACTCTTTTGTCTCTCTCTTTTCCTTATAGTACCCCTATTATACAAATATTGTTTCATTTAGAGTTGTCACACAGCTTTCTTAGCATCCTCTTGTTTTTATAAGAATCCTTACAAAAGAAGAGATTCTTTTTTCTCTGTTCCTCAGCTTTGCTGTTTTCCTGTTCTCTAATATCCATCTCATTGATTGTCTACTCTACTTGCAGCAATCTTTTATTCATTTCATCCACTGTATTTTTCATTTCAGTTACTGTATTCTTCAGCTCTGAGTGGCCATTTTCAAAATCTTCTATCTCTTTGTTGAAGTCCTCCCTGAGATTGTCAATACTTTTTGGCAGATCAGTAAGCATATTTATGACTGTTATTTTGAAACCTTTACAAGACTGGTGATCTCCATTTCATTTAGCCCTCTTTCTGGTGTCTTAGTCTGTTCATTTGGAACATATTCCTCTGACTCCCATTTTGTCTATGCTTCTGTGTTTCTTTCTTTGTGTTAGATTGATCTGTTATGCCTCCTGGTCTACAAAGTAATGGCTTTATGAAGAAGGCATCCTGTGTTATCCAGAAGCTCAAAGTCTACTCTCCAGTGCTGGGTTCTCCTTTGTGGTGGAGCTGCAGTTGCTGTTGATGAGCTGTGGGCAAGGCAGCCTATCTGCCTGTCTGCTGGCAGTGGCTGATCTCTGTCAAACAAGGCCCTTGGATCTGTGCAGCAGCACCTCTGCTGGAATCACTGTGGGCGGGGCTTTCTGCCCATATGTCTCCAGTGGCTGACCTCAGTCCACCGCAACTGGCAGCTTGCCTCAGCTAACCCTTTTTGAGTCCTGCAGCAGTGTTCTTGCTGGGAATGTTGTGAGCAGGCACCCCTCTGCCTGCCCTGCAGTGAAAGTGGCATGGGGCTAGGCCAGCAGTGAGGAAGAAGGAGCATTATAGCTGGTTACCATAGACACATCCTCAGTTGGACTGAGAGAGGACCAGGTAAGCTGGAAAAGCCTCCCTCTGCCTGCCAGGCTGCAAAGTCTCCTTCTGCCTGCCAGGCAGAAAATTCTAAAGATGCTGGGCCAAGCTGGCCAAGTGGTTGGGCAGATGGGTGTGCAGAGAAATACCTAGGGTCTGAACCACAAGCAATGGGGTTGAACTTTGGGGGCTGGCTACCGTGAGCACCCAACAAGTTGGGCTCAGAGAGGGCTGGAGAAGTGCTGTCCACCTGCCCTACCCTTTCTCCTCCTGAAAGAGCTCCCTCTAACCCCCACCCCTCTGGCACCCCTCCTGCTGCTGGTAAATCTTTCACACTGCCACCTCTGTGTTGGGTCCCAGCAGGACCAAAAGAGTGTGCCTGTCCTCCACAAGCAACTGCAGTCTCAACCTCCAAGAGTGCTCCAACTCTCCCTAGTGTCTAGCCCCATTAATCACCAAAGCCCAGTGCAATGTGTGCTAATATTCCCAGAGATCTCCAGGGCCCAGTGTGCAGGATTCCTGAGTGCGTATCCCCTCCCCACTCCATTCCTCTTACTGCCACTTGTGGGGTATGATAAGGGAAGGGTTTGGGTCCTAATGGATAACAGCTCTGCCACTTTACCCTTCTCCATGTGATATTCTCCTCTTCACCAGATGTATGTACATGGTCCGTTTTGCAGTCTTCAGGTCATTTTCAGGGTTAGCTGTATTTGCTGTAGTCACTTCCTTGGTGTGTATGTGACAGGAGGTTTCCGCCTTGCCTTCCTTCTCTGCCATCTTTTCCCCCTCCTAAGTTGTCTTTTTTTAAGCTATACATTCAGAGATTTCAAAAAATGTAAAACAAGTTTCTCATCAAATATTTTCCTTTAGAAAAAGTTATTACTCATGAAAATGTTATGTTAATATGTATTAGTTTTTTTTTTAGCAAATTAAATTTTTGAAAAATCTGTTTCAATTTCCAATTCCTAAGTTATCAATAAATATAATCTACATTAAGAAAAACAGTTCTCACCCAATTTCAATTGATTGCTTACTTTCTTTATTTTTGGTTATACCTTCTTGCCTCTCTGTATGCCAATTAATCTTTGACTGAACACCATATGTTGTACATTTTCTTTTGTGTGGTATTAAATATTTTTGTGATGTTGTAAGTTTTCTTGACTTTGCTTTGGGATGCATTTAAATTATTTGGAAATAATTTCATCTTTTCTTTCAAGTCTTGCTTTTATTTGTTAGGTGGGTCCTGAGCAGTGCTCACTCTAGGACTAACTGTTCTCCATTATTGAGGTGAAAATTTCCTTAGCACTCTACCCAGTGCCTCATGAATTGAAAGTTTCTCCACTGCAGTGGTGGGACAGTTACTGGCCCTGTGGGACACCACTTTCTCTAATCATTTCAGATGGTTCTTTCCCCAAAACGTAGGTGACCTGTTTCTTCACACATGTGCTCTGATCAGTAATCTGCTGAATACCTGAAGGAGCCATCTACAGATCTCTGGAGGTCCCCCCTGTACAGCACTCTCCTTTCCAGTATTCTGTCCAACACATGCTAGCCGTTTTGTTCCTCCTGGATACTCAGCACTGCCTCTTCAATTCCTGGAGTCCAGACTATCTTCCCTCTCCCTCTGTTACAGTCTGAAAACTCTCTCAAGGCTATAATCTGGGACCATCATAGAGAGCTCGTTTCTTGGGGATTGCTTTCATTTGTTATCTCATGTCCAGTATCTAGAAAATATTGTTTTTCTTTTGGTTATTTTGGTTATTGTGGGAGAAAGGGATTCCTCCTTTTATTCCACACATATCAAGCTAACAGACAGATTCTAACATAACAGAGGAAGATAATAGTTCCAGATTCTAAGTCACATTTAATAAACAACCACTTGTTCAATTTTGCTGTAATATCAAGGATGATTCAAAATGATCTAAAACTGCTTTTTAAAATATTTCTCCTTAACAAAAAGTAGATTGGTGGTTTCTAGAGACTATTGGGAGGGCAATGAAATGTGACTGCTACTGAGTATAGGGTTTCTTTGTGGGGTGATAAAAATGTTCTCAAATTAGGTTATCCGCTATGGTTGCAGAACTCAGTGAATACTCTAAAATCTATGGAACTGTGCACTTACTTATCAGGTGAATTTTACAGTATGTGAATTATATGTGATTAAAAAAATTTCTCAACTACATGATATTCAAAATCACTGAGACCAGATTTTATACATATACTTCAATCAAAACAACTTATTACAACAAACTGAATATAGAATCTGCACATGTGAGAATGAAGTTGTCTTTAAGCCATACAGTAAGAGACTTCCAAAAATGCCAAAACTACATGTTTTCTCAAATACTATTTTTCTTCAGAAAAAGTTACTTTTCAAGGAAATGTTTTTATGTTGATAACAGATTATTATTTTAAAATAAATTAATAAAATTTTTAAAGTTTTGTCAGTTTTAATTCCCAATTCAGAAAATATCATGGGTATAAACCACATAAAGAAAAAATCTCTGGGTTTCCCAATACTATTTAAGAGTATACTAAGGCCCATATAGTTTGAGAACTAACACTTTATACCATCATACTATGCCAGGGGTTTCATACTAGTATACATCATAACAGACTTAACAATACAGTAATAAAAACTGTTAATAAAAAATGCTAAGAAGAATGTATGTAAACACACACTAAAGTTTGTTACTTAATTGCATATCTTACTTGGAAGTTTCTGGCAAGCCAGCTGAGAGTTCCAGAAACACAGATAAGTAGTAACCACGAACTACTCCGTTTCCATCCTTGGAAAAAAGAAATATATATTATATAAAAACAAACTCCAGATCAATTTAAATGTAAAGAATTAAACCATAATGAAAACAAACAAATGCAAATTAATATCTGGTATTTGGAAAGGGAAAAGATAAAGAAGATATGGTACATGTATCATAACAGAATATTATTTAGCCATAAAAAAAAAGAAATCCTGCCATTTGTGACAACATGGATGGACTTAATGGTATTATGGAAAGTAAAATGAGTCAGGCAGAGAAAGACAAATACCATATCATTTCACTTATTAGAGGAATCTAAAAACAAAGCAAAACAAATGAACAAAACAGCAGTAGACTCAGAGACAATGAAAAGTGACTGGTGGTTGCCACGGAGGAGGGGTTGAGGTGGGTGGGTAGGGTTGGTGAGGGGGATAAAGGGGCAAAAAATCTCAATTATAATATAAGTTGGTAACCGGGATGGAAGTACAGCAAGGGGAATATAGTTAATGGTTCAACATCTTTCTATGTTGATAATAGTAGCTGCACTAGTAGGGGTGAGCATTTAATAATATGTGTAACTGATGAACCACTGTGTTGTATACTTGAAACCAATATAATATTGTGTATCAACTATACTTCAATAAAAAAATTAAGCGAATTTTATTGAATATATTACATTATAGCAAATTTTATTGAATATATTACATTATATCCCAAATTACACTGACTTTAAAAATCAATTAACATCCTTGATCAAATAGCTGGGGTTTCTTCCTTCTTTTGAATTTTGTTCCTAGAACAATTTCCCTGGATTAAAATTAATTAATTAATAAAAGAAATGAATGTTTTCCACTCCTGTTCTTTGTCAGTTAATACTATTAGAAATTTCTTTTCAATTCCTATCAATTTTAAAGAACAAAATTTTTTACTACTCTTATTTGTATGCCAGCTGCACCTCTAACAAAATACTGGCTTTAAGATTTTGTACTAGCCAGAGGCTTCTGGAGAACTCACTGCAATTGCAGTACAGTTTTCACAACTCTCTAAATCCAAGCAAAAACAAAACAAAACAGAACTGGAGAGCAAAAGCAAAAGCTGACAAACCGCAATTACAACAAAACTAGATACAGCTTATCTTCACAATACCCTCAAACACAAGCAGATAAAGATATACCAGTTATAACCACAGAGACATGCATGATGTCAACATCTGTGTGGGAGAAATGAGGGAAGCAGTGGAGTACCTAATCGCACCAGAAAACTACAAAATGGCCAAAAGTGAGTAGATGAAAAGCATCATGAGCTACAACACAACAGCTGAAACTGGAAAGAGCTGCTCAATATAATACCATGTAAGTCCAAGGGGGCTAATATAAGGAAGTCTGAAAACCAAATGCAGTCTAGTGACTCTAAATTTATAGAAGTGAATATCCAGGATTGCAAAGAAACTGCTAGGAGTGAAATAAAAGATAAAGAGTATAGAAATAACAGAGATGAAGGGAGGAGAAGGTCCAGATGAGGTACAGGGCAGAAGCCAGGAAGTATCTCAGAAAGCAAGGCACCATATTGTCTATTGTGATATCACACTGGATATCCACATGCAAAAGAATGAAACTGTACCCCTACTACACATACAAAAATTAATTCAAAATAAAGACCTAAACACATTAAGTCCTAAAGCTATTAAACTCCTGGAAACAAACATAGAGAAAAAGGTTCATGGCTAGTGGATTTGGTAATGAGGATTCCACAGAAATGATACCAAAATGGACAAATTGGACCACATAAAAATTAGCAACTGTGTATCTAAGGTCAACAGAGCAAAATGGTACCTACAGAATGGAGAAAATGTATAAATCATGTATCTAATAATGGGTGAATATAAAAGAACTCCTGTGACCAAAAAACAAAAAACCCGATTAAAAAACAATGGGCAGTGGACTTGAATACACATTTCTCTAAACAGGATATACAAATGGCCAACAAGTATATGAAAAGATGCTCAACATCACTATTCATTAGGGAAATATTATCTCACACCCATTTGGATGGTTACTATCAAAAAGAAAGCAGCAAGTATTGAAAAAGGTATGGAGAAACTGGGACCCTTATGCACTGCTGGGAATGTAAATGGTGCAGCCACTGTGGAAAACAGTATGGAAGTTCCTAAACAATTAAAAACCAAACTACCATATGATCCAGCAATTTCACTTCTGGGTATATATCCAAAAGAACTGAAAGCAGGATCTTTGCACACTCATATTCACTGAAACCAAGGGGAAGAAGGAAACCAAGTGTCCATTGACAGATGAATGGATAAACAAAATGAATATGTAACATATATACAATGCAATATTATTCAGCCTTCAAAAGGAATTCTGACACCTGCTACAAAAGAGGATGAACCTTAGGGACATTATACTAAGTGAAAGAAGCCAGTCACAAAAAGACAAATGCTGCATGATTCCACATACATGAGACATCTAGAGTACTCAAATTTATAGAGACAAGGAATAGAATGGTGGCTGCCAAGTGCTGGGGAGAAGGGGAAGTGGGGAGTTACTGCTTAATAGGCAGAAAGCTTCAATTTTGTAAGCTGAGAAGTTCTGCACATGGGTTGTACACCAATGCAAATATACTGAACAATATTACATGGACACAGAAATGGTTAAGAGAGTAGATTTTATGTTATGCATTGCTTACTAAAATAAAATAAAAAAGAGAGAATAAAAAGCAGAATAACATCCCTACAATCCTACAATAAAAATACTCTAGATCAAAATTGTAACCTATTTCAAAACAACCTAAAAGATACCAAGAAAATAATATGACATCCCATAGGAAGAAAGGAAGAAAAAAGAATATGACATGAAAGAATAACATAAATCAAAATTAGAAAAACTCAGAAATCAGATGATAGAACTAAGTAAAATATTAGGAATAAAAAGTTACTTAAGAAATAAAGACAATTAAAAGGAACACAAGAGCAAATAAGTACAACAGTTTATATCTTAAAATAAAATGAATAAAGCGTTTCAAATGACAAGAAATGAAGAGCAAAAAAGTTTAGATACAGTGATAAATACTGAAGACAGGAAAAGAAGATTCAAATGCAGATAATACAAGTCCCAGGAAAGAAAACCAAAGAAAAGAACATAACAAATATTTCAAACTGTAATTCAGGAAACATCTTCTTTAAAAAAAAAAATCTAAAACTACAAAGTGAAAGAGTCTTGCATATAATGAAGACTACTGACCCAGAACAACTCAACCATACAGTAGTAAATTACTAGACTTGAAAAGACTATCTGGGCATCTATCTAGATAACATTAGTAAATTCCTTTTTTAAGAACTAGTTAGTTTATCATCAGACTTAATGTAAAGATAAATGGAATTTAATATTTAAGATATCCAAAGAAAGAAAACATGAGTCAAGGACTTTATGTCCAGCAATACTGGCTTTAGAGTAAAAAGGACACACACTGTTTTCAACATACAAAAACTCAAGGAACACTGTTTCCATTAGCCCTTTTGGTGGAATCTACTAGAGAACAAGCTTTGGACTTCCAAAATGCTGTATAGACATGGCAGAGTAGGGGAATATGAAGAGTATATGCGAAAACATTTTTAAACAATTCTCAGTAATCAAACTGAGGCTAAAATTAAAGGTCCTATTCTAAGGATAGAATTAGAAGTCCTACTCTAAGATTTTTATTGGTAAGATGAAAGAAAGCAAATGATTGATTGACTATGAGATATTTTCATTCTCTCATTTCCTTTGGCTTCAAGAAGTAGGATTCCTAGAGTGGAAGAAGGAAGATACAGGTATAATGTAGAGAGATGTTTTAAAACAAAACAAAACAAAAAACCCTCTATAGTCCTGAATTTGAATTGTAAATGTGAGTATTAAGTCATGAGTTATTTTATCTTTAAAAACATAAATATATTCATGTGATTAAAAAAAAGCAATATTCTACAATTATATGGCAATTTTAGAGTGCTCATAAATATTTTTTCTCTATTGAGATCTCTGGAGCTTACCCGCTTTTATCCATACTCCTACCCAGTTTTTATCAAAGTATTGCCTTTGGCCTAAAATCAAACAACAAAAAAACCCTATAAAATGCACAACAACATGAACTCTAATGTAAACTAGGACTTTAGTTGATAATGTATCAATGTAAGTTCATGCAACAAACATACCACCCTTGTGCAGGATATGATGACTGTGGGGGAGGGTATACATATATGGAATCTGAGAGTGTATGGAACTCTCAGTACTTTCTACTCAGTTTTGTTGTTATCCTAAAACTGCTCTAAAAACTAGCCTACTATATAAATAAATATGTATTTTACCACACACACACCCCCTCCAAACACCCATATTTACCTACATTTTCCTAGCTTGATTCACTAAGGAAACCTAGAAGGTGATCAACCTGGTAGAAATGAGCACCTCTAACACCCAGTTTGGTCTTAAAATACAATTTCCCTACTAAAAGTAATCAGGGCTCTTTGGATAGAAGGGCCCATTCAAGGTACAAAGTAGGAAATGTACAAGATGAACCTAGAACATCTTGTCATGGAAGAGAACAGAAAAGATAACTATTCGGGTCACTACTAGGGACTATTAGGGTCAGGGAAAAGTGACACAGAGCCAACTTAAAGAGATTATATAAGTATTATAAACCCATGAGTTCATAATAATATTTTAATGTAATTAATCACTTTCAGGAATAATAAGTAAAAGTGGTAAATAACAGGAAAGAATCCTGTATCTTCTACACAAACTGTAATAATGGGTAACCAAATAACAGACAAAAGGAACCATCTCTTTATAGAAGTATTACAACTAATAATGAAGAAGAAACAATAAAACGAGAACATCACTATTTTGCAACTCCCAGTGAATTAATAGTAGACAATGAATATCAACAACTGCCAGTATCACAAAAAGAGATGGAAATAGACATGATGTGATAAAAGAACATACTACTGACTATGTTCTTGCTGTAGAAATAAACTATGCATCTCATCATGCCACTACACTGGATCCCACTGCCAATTTTCAGAAAATACACAGGTTAAAGGAACATACTGAAATGCACCATGAGTATATGAAGTCAGTACATGTGTCTTTTTTGATGGCTTTCTCTATCTGTGTTTGTATTTAAAAAATGATTTTAGAAATTTAAACATTTCTTCTAAAAATAAATATCTTCCTACAAACAAGGAATAAGATTGAGTAATATGTTAGGGTTCATACTGTTCATATTTAATTTATTTTTTCATAGATTTAATAATATACCTTACTCCACTAAAAAAGTGAAGTAGTGTATTACAGAATCATGAAGAAAACATTGGCTTCAAAATATGTGAGAAATATGAAAAACTTACTGGGTAAACTTTTAACCTCCAACAAAGTCCTGAAACTTGAAGAGGTGGACTATAAACAGGATCTGCTCTCTGACGTAACGTGCTGAAGTAAAAGAAAACAAACCAAAGCCCAAGATCAAAACTGTTGTGAAGTAGCAACAAGCAAAACCAAAAACCAACCATTTTATGTTACTTATTTGAAGTGCTGAACAAATAAGTGAAGGTGACTGAACGAGTCAAGATTGCACTATATGAATTTATGTCAGCATACCTCAGAGGTACTATGGGCGTTGCTTAGAATATCACAATAAAGCAAGCCAAATAAATTTTCTGGTTTCCCAGTACATATAAAGGTTATGCTTACACTACGAGGTAGCCTATTAGGTGTGCAATAGCTTTGTGTCTAAAAAGATAATGTACACACCTTAATTAAAAAATAGTTCATTGCTAAAAAATGCTATTCATCACCTGAGCTTTCAGTGAGTTATAAACACTGATCACATATCACCATAACAGATACAATTACAATGAAAAAGTTTGCAATACTGTGAGAATAACCAAAATGTGACACCAAGACAAGAAGTGAGCAAATGCTGTTGAAAAAGTGGTGTTTATAGACTTGCTCAATGAAGGGTTGCCACGAACCTTCAATTTGTAAAAAACGCAGTTATCTGTGAAGTACAATAAGGAGAAGCTCAATAAAATAAGGTATACCTACATATATATATATTTACATTGAGATAAAAGAAAATTTAATGATATTGAAATATTCAGCAGTTACCTTTTCAGTTTCAGGTTAAAAAAAAATCTCAAAACTGTGACATTTAGGAGCAAAGGAACATACAACTAAGAGTCCTGACTTTAATACTACAGCAAGCAGTATTTCACCATTAAAGAAAAAAGTGTTTCTTCCTCACATCCCTGTAGTATAATTATCCTTTTTTCACATGAAAAAACAGAAGAGCATGTGCTAAATGTTACTATATGTGGAGAAATCCTCAGAAAGTTTATATTTTTGCCACAGGATTATCCCATAAGAAAAAACAAATTTTATGGGAGTGGTATAAATTCTCAGTTTGGCCTCATTTCAATGGTTATCACCTGGAGTTTCTCTCCCCAAGGTAAGACCTTGTATTCTTGGTTCCCCATTTGCATGCTGCCCTTGAAGACAAATCCCTAGGTCCTTTGTGTTTTAAAATCTTTGCTTCTAATCTTAAAGAAAAATATGTAAAAAGCTAACATATTAACATGCAAGTTACAAGACTTACAAATTTCTTAAAATGGCCTCTCATCTACAATTCCTCACTTTGAGCTAAGATAAATGAACCCAAATGAACTTCCTCACACCACTCTTATTTCTGAAGATGGGTAGGGGGACCTCATCCATCTCTGTTATTCCATCTGCCCATCAGCAAAGGCTAAATGGACCTGCTTTAAAAAAAAAAAATATATATATATATATGGTTCCTTTCCCAGGGGAATCTGTCCTGAAGACAATACAATCTAGACAAATGATCTCTACGCTTCCAATGGGAAACTTCTTTCTTCTAAGACTACACACTGGGTGACAGTTCATTAGATCTGTATCCTACACAGGAATTTACACACTGGGTGACAGTTCATTAGATCTGTATCCTACACAGGAATTATACTTTCCTGGCTCTAACTTATATATAAAAAACCAGAGTTGTCAAAACCTCTTACCTGAAATTCTCTAAAACAAAAGTAGCTGAATCATAAGATGGTACTAATTCACTGAAAAAAAACAAAAGCCAAAAAAATTATTTTACTTTTATCTAAGTTTAAAATTTCATTTAGCTAAAAACAGTTAAGTCCCCCAGTAATATCTTGAAAATTTATTAAAGAAGTCCCTAAGAAATATTTTAAAATTCTTATTAACCATAACATTAATCAAATGAATTCATAAAACCACCAAAAGTTGACATCAACAGCTTGCAAATAAACTGGAGATTCAATAAATGTTTTACAGAATAGCTTTTTTTGTAAAAGGCAATATATGACTAAGTATTAAATAAGTATAAGACACATTTAATAAGTACTCATAGAAATAAGAAAAGGAAGAAATTGGTGCTTACACTGGGAACCTGAAATATGAAACAGATATAAACAGGTTTAACAAACCCAAAAAAGATAGCAAAAACAAAAGACATCACAATAAATCCCCAAACTTCCTTTTTCAGAACAAATTATGAGGAATACTGATAGGCCCTAAATTTTTTAGACTATTTACTAGCAAATAAACCTATACAATTATATAGGATAAGAATACATAATCACATACGGAGCAAATAGGATGGAACTTCAGTTCTTGGCCAAAAAAGATTACCTCAGGCAACATTAGCTCCACAATCTTCTCCAAAGAGAACAGAACTACAACCAGCAGAGATCAGCAAAAGGATAGTTCATTTTGCAGCTAAATGCCTTCCATATCATGTGAATAGTCTGTAGTACTATCAACAGAACACCTCAAAAGTCAGACTGAGTAAAATATTTATGAAAGGATAGTATCATACATAGTGTTATAATACAGTGTTATACATTTAAAAATTTCAGTTTAGCAAAAAGATAAACTGCAAGCTATTTTACCACATCTTCAGATACATTTTATAAAGTTCAATCCATGAAAATTTGTTATTACGAAATGAGATACAAGACACATCTATAGCATTTTCACACTGTGATAGTGCCTAAACAAATGTAGCACTGTCTGGAAATATAGGGAGAGGCACCACTGGGACACTGCTAAACACCCTACAATAATAAACAGGAAAGCTCCCTCTACCCCACAAAGAATTACCCAGTTCCAAATGTCAACAATAGCAAGACTGAAAACCCTGGTTTACACTACACAGGCTAGTATAGTATAATCAATGCCCTGTGGCCAGTAGTGGGCATCAAATAGTAGAGGGGAAAAAAAGGCAGCTAAATAATAACACTTTTATGACAAAGGCTGTTTCATAAAGATATCAGAGCCCTCAACATACTAAAGAAACTTGACAGTATTCCATAAGCCATCTCTAACGCTAAGATGAAGATTACACTCTGTCATACCGATATATTTATCTGAAGCAGTTTAACCTCTCACCTTATGAATTAATTAAGGAGATTTGAAAAGAACAAACTGCAAATGCCTAGCTGGAACCAACGTTACAGACCAAACTGTGTCCCCCAAAATTCTTATGTTTAAGCCCTAACCCCAGGAGTGACCAGATTTGGAGACAGGACCTGTAGGGAGGTAATTAAGGTTAAATGAGGTCTTATGGGTGGGACCCTAACCCAATATGGCTCTGTGTCCTGAGAAGAGGAAAAGACAGAGACTGATCTCTGTGCATGCAGAGAAAAGGTCATACAAGGACACAGAGAGATGGCAGTTATCTGCAAGCCAGGAAGAGAGGCCTCACCAGAAATTGAATATTGTAGCACCCTGACCTTGGACTTCTTGTCTCCAGAACTGTGATAGAATAAACTGTTGTATAAGCCACCCAGTCTGTTGTATTTTGTTATGGCAACCCAAGTAGACCAATCTCACCACAGAGATTTTATCTCAAAAGACCTGAGGGATGGGCCACATAGGTAATTTCCAAAGAATCCCAATGGAGTCTAAGGACATATAGCTAGTGTTAAGAATCACTGTTGTAACACCACAGCGTAATCCTAAACATGCTTGGAAGAATATGCTGTTTAGAAGAATTCTAAAATGGAATGAGATAAAAACTAAAAAAAAGCACAGAATGCAACCATTTCCTCCCATTATCTTTTACAATCTGGAGATAACACCATGTCAAAACCTTTTGAAAATATTTTGACAATTTCTCCATTTTTCTGGGTTTTGTTTTTGGCAACTACACATAAAGAAGGAGTTATAAACACAGCGTAATGAGATATAAGTAAACTCAAAAGATAAATGAAAGAACAAACATGCTACAACATGGATGGACCGTGAGGGCATTATGCTAAGTGAAATAAGACAGAAAGACAAACACCATATGATCTCACTTTTACGTGTTATCTAAGAAAAGGAGTCAAAAGGTACAAACTTTCAGTTATAAAATTACAAATTTTATAAAATAAGGCATTGGAATATACTATACAGCATAATGACTATAGTTAATATATTACTGCTTATTTGGACGTTGCCAAGAGAACAGATCTTAAAAGTTCTCATCATGAGAAAAAATAAATGTTAACTATGTATAGTGACTTACTGTGATTATTATTTCAAAATATATACAAATATCAAATCATTACGTTATACACCTGAAACTAATGTTATATGTCAATTACATCTCAATTAAAAAAAAAAGAATGAAAAGACAGTGATAAAACTGAATGGGATCAATTCTTTTTTTTTTGTGGAAGATGAAGATCCAGGAAAGAAAGAAATTCCTAATTCACTATCATCTCTTCATAGTCAAAAGTCTAAGCCCACCACTTTTTAAAAATCAGATTTACATGTATAAACTGAAATTTGCCAGACCACAGCATTATAGACACCTTAAAAAAGACATAAATAAGAAAAACAACATTCTTTTGAAACAAGTATGTACATTTTCACATAAACGTCAAATGAAAATGAAGTTAAAAAATTGTGTCATACCTGGTAAAGTCTGGTGGAACAGGAGTGGTAACAAAGGATGCCATGGGCTTTCGATGAACTTGCTGAAACATCATGAGGATCTCTGTGCTCTTAGATATCAACTCACTCTTACTACAAGATCGCAACTGTGTAATAAAAAAAAAGTAACTGAATAAACAAAACTACTATTAACTGACACCTCAAAATCCTTAATACAGAAGGAATTATTTTGGTTGCATACTGAAAAAAATTGAGATAGAATGACTCTTTCAAAGGGGGTTTAAGAGTTAAGAATCTACATGGAATCCAGCTTTATTTTCATTCTAATGGTATAGTCACCAAGAACCTGTACTTGATCTTAGTGCATTTTTTTTCTCCTTATATATTAGAATAAATTCAACTTTAAACAACTACAAATATATTTTAGACTGGTACAGCAAATACATTATGTATACTTATGAACAAATCCTTATATGCAAATAGCCTTCAAATAATAATTTCTCAAACTGCATTCCAGGGAACAGAGAAATGTTGAGATGGAACACACAAAAAAAAATTCTTAATCTATACTGATTTAGAACACACTACTTTTAAGTTATGCCTAAGGTACAAAGTGAGAAATTAAACGTTAGTGAAATAAATATGGTAATTAGAGGACCAATTTTGTATGCATGATAACCATTATGTAGTCCTAATTCTACCACATCCTAATTACATGACTCTGTGACTCTGTTCACATGTAAACTAGAAATACTCAAATTCTCCCAAGGAATCCAAAAATAACCAAAACAAGGGAACAAAAAAACAGATGGGGCAAATAGAAAACAAGTAGCAAGATGTTAGATTGAAACTTCACCTTATCCATAAGCACAATGAATGAGAATATCCTAAACATCCCAGTAAACAAAGACTGTCAGACTCAATTGTATATTGCCTACAAGACACATCTTAAATTTTAGAAACAAATACATTAAAAATAAAATGACAGAATAAGAAATATCATGGTAACACTAGTTAAAAGAAAGCTTAAAACAGATTTGAAAGCAAAGATTACTAAAAGGGATAACGAAGGTCCTTTCACAGTGATAACAGGAAGAATTAATCAAGAGAACATAACAATCCTAGATATGTATGCACATAATATATATGCTTCAAAATATGTGAAGAAAAAAACTGACAGAACTGAAAAAAAAAAAAAACTGACAGAACTGACAGAAGAAACAGACAAATCCACAATACTGCTGAAAATTTCAATAACCCTCTTTCAATACTTGATAAAACAAGCAGACAGAAATTTGCAAGGATATATTAAACTTGAACAATACCATCAACCAACTTGACTTCATGACATTACAGACTATCAGGAAAATCCCCAAATATTTAGAAACTAAATAACACAATCCTAAAGAACCCACAGATCAAAGAAAACACAAGGGATGTAAGAAAGTATTCTGAACAGAAGTTGCAAATCAACAACCCCAGCTTCCATCTTAGATTTTAGAAAAAGAGCAAATGTAAACTCAAGCAAAAGAAAGAAATAATTAGATCAAAGCAAAATTTTAAGTCAATGAAACAGAAAACAGAAAAACACAGAAAAGCCAAAACCTAATTATTTGAAAAGTTATAGACAAAAATAGGTACCCTCCAGCCAGACTGATGAGGCCAAAAGGAAAGAAGACACAAATTCTCAGTATCAGAAAAGAGAGAGGTGACCACTGCATTCTACAGATCTTAAAATGGGGAATATTATAAACTTTATGCCCATAAATTTGGCAAATTCAAATTAAATGGAATTCCATGAAGACACAAACCACCAATGCTTACTCAAGAAGAAATAGATAATATGAACTGTCTAGTATCTATTAAAACAAAATTTAATTTGTATTTTAAAACCACTACACAAAGAAAACAAGGCCTAAATGGTGAATGCTATCAAACATCTAAGGAACAAATAATACAAATTCTATACAACTTCTTCCACAAAACTGAGGAGAGTGTACTTAAAGATTCATTCATTAAGGCCAACATTACTCTGATAACAAAGACAGACAAATATACCTTGAGAAAAGAAAACTACCATCTAATATCCCTCACACTCAAAAATGCAAAAAGCACAACTAATTTTTGAAAAAGACACACAGGCAAGTCAGTGAAGAGAGGCTGGTCTTCAACAAATGGTGCTGGTACAACTGGAGAGCCATACATGAAAAACAAACAAAAACAAAACTACCTTGGATCCATACCTCACATTAAAAAAAAAAAGAAGCCTCCAAATAGACATAGACCTAAATATAAAACCTGAAACTACAAAACTTTTGGAAGAAAACACTGAAGAAAATCTTTCATATTAGGTAAATATTTATTAGCTATGACACCAAAAGAATAAACTGATGACTTTATACTTCATCTAAGTTTTTAAATTATTCTATTCTAAAGGAAGTTTTAAGAAAATGAAAAAAAGCCAGACTTGATGCAAATCTTTGCATATATCTAAAAAAGAACTTATATCCAGCTTTTTATATAAGGGATTCCCAAAACTCAACAAGAAAAACAAGTCACTAAAATGATGGGCAAAAGAGATGAAAAGACACCTTAACAAACAAGATATACAGATGGCAAATAAGTTCAGAAAACGATGCTCAACATCATCAGTTATATGGCAAATACAAATTAAAGTCATAATGAAATTCCATGACACTCCTATGAAAATAGCTAAAATTCAAAAGACTGACTGTATCATGTGTTGCCAAGGATGTGGAAGAATGGGTGTTATCATAGACTACTGATGGAAGTATAAATCACTTCAGAAAATAGTTGGCAGTTATTAAAAAGTTAATCATACACCTACCATTTGACCCAGCCATTCTTAGGTAGGGTCAAAAGAAAAGGAAATATATTTCCATGTATAGATTTGTACATGAGTGTTCACTGTAGCTTTATTTGTAATAACCAAAAACAGAAAGTTATAATAACCAAAATGGCCATGAAGTGGTAAATGAAAAAACAAACTGTGGTGTTTATACACAGTGGAATGCTATTCAGCAGTTCAAATCACAAAGTAATTTTGCAGAGTGAAAGAAGTCAGACATAAAACAAATACACAATGTATGATTCCAATTATATAAAACTCAAGAAAACACAAATTTATCTATAATGACAGAAAGGAGTTAGGGAGCTGCCTGGAGAGGAAAACATGGGGAGAACCAGGAGAGCTTATAAAGCAGCATAATGAAATTTGGGGGGATAATGGATGTGTTCAGTATCTTGAGTATGGTGATAGTTTTACAGGTTTTCACATTCATCAAAACTTACCAAATTATACACTTTAAATAACATGGAGTTTATTTTTTGTTAATTATTCCTCAATAAAGCTGTTAAAAAAAAAAAAGCACACAGATCCCCAGATCCCCATCCATACTCCACCATAACTGATTTCAGTTGTCCCATCAACCCAGCAGAAGGCTGCTAGTTCATTCTTTGGAGGGTATAAAATAAAGTTTCTGGACTGGGGAAACAACATGCATGGCTAAGAACAGGAGTACTGAAGAGAAAAATCAGAGTATTTCGATAAATACTTATATACTGAACTGACAACCAAGTTGTCAATCAAACGTAAAGAGTAAACAAAAATATTTTCAGACATGAAGTCTTGAAAAATTTCTTCTAGTTACCCTTTCAGGAAAGCTACTGAAGGAAATGTAATACCAAAACAAGTGAGTAAATCAGGAGAGTGGAAGTCATGGGAATCAGGAAACATAGGATTCAACCCAAGAAAGAAATGAAGGTAGTAATTCATAGGATGGTAGGTAACAACTCAGGAAATAGCTGTGTATCAGGCATAGAGAAGAATTCAGAATTCCAAAAACCAAATTCAAGACAGATGAATATATCAAATATTTACGTGACACTCTACATTTTATTTATTCATTTACTATGTACTTATCCCTACCTAAACCCCACCTATGTTATAAACTCTGTGAGGACATTTTTTGGCATTTTGTCCACTGCCGTATTCCAAACATCTAAAACAATGTTTGCTATCTATTTGGTACTTAATAAAATTTCCTTAATAAATAAAAAAAAAATTTTTTTTGTAAGAAGCACTAACTTTTCTGTAAGAAGCACTGAATGTAACTGGCAGTAACAGTCTATCTTGAAGCCACCACTTAACTCACAATGTCAGAAGATTTTATTTTATTTTATTTATTTACTATTATTATTTTTTTTTTTAGGAGAGCAAGGCAGAGAAGATTTTATTTTATTTTATTTATTTACTATTATTATTTTTTTTTTTAGGAGAGCAAGGCAGAGGCCTTTATTTAGAGAGAGAAAGCGAGAGGACAGTTCTTGGCTCAGGCCAGGAGGGTACAAGAGAGCCTCCAGAAGATTTTAATCATTGATAAACATACAGATTCCTATGGGCTACTCTCAGTAAAAAAATTCCATTCTTACAAAATAGGATAAATCTTATTAACTTTATCTAGACCCTAAATATGATGGAAAAAACTTGAGAAGAATCAGTTGATTCCTATTTCATGAAAATCCCTACTATAGCACATAGATAGATCCCCATATCTTCTGATTTTATATAATCTCTCTCAAAAAAAAAATTTCAAAGTATATGGACAAAAAAAGGAAAAGACTTTATTACATTACATCTAATATTTCATCACCTGGTGCTCTACCTCCTGAAGTAAGGATTCCAACAGCTCTGTTTCTTGTGTTAGAGATGTCTTCTGACCTTTAAAAATAACAAAACACCAACATTCAGACTCATTATCAGTATAGGAATGAAATTAACTTTCTACTAAAATACTTTTCTAGAGCTTTAAGAAATTGAAACTAATATTGTAGTAGCTTGGACAAGAGGATTTCAGAACCAACCCTAACTATAGTTTAAGACAAAATGCAATTTAGGTCTATTAAATTCATCTAAGAAATATAAAATGACAATGTACTTTGTAATGAGATTAATGCTAGTCCTCCATCTAAGGAATATAAAGATCTGGAAAGGCAAATTTTTAACTCAACTCTTCTGAAATAATTCCTTCCAAAATTTTAATTGTGAGTTAAAGAGAGGAATGTCATAAGTAGGTCAAATGTTTAAACGATATAGTCTGTGACTATAAGAACCTGTAAAAAACAAAAATGCCCAGAGGAAAATAGTCTCAAGAAGCTGGAAACATAGAGAGATAATGGAATTATTACAAAAATTGTTACTGTAGAAAAGGAGGAAACTGTTTTACATGTTTCCCACATTCCCCCCAAAAAACGAAAAATGACAAGGTAGACATGCTTGACAAATCAGACCATTTTCTAAGTAAATCACAGCGTCTGAAGAGCTGGAAGCATATCCCATGAAGTTAGCATAAGTTACAGCAATTTGGTGTAATGTTATTTGACACAGAGGGACATTTAATAGATGGAAGTTTTATTTTTGAAACCAATCTTTTCCTAGTCTATAATAACTCACCACACTAACTCTTCAAAGTCTGAACCTCAAGGAAGCTCTAAGCATCATGTATTCCAAGAGCACAGAAAAACACTCACCCATCAGTGTTATAAGCTTATTCTTCAGCTGTGTGTCTAACCGTGCGATCATCATCTCTACTGCATTCCTAATTTCCCGAACACGCTCATCTTTTGCATTTCTTACAGCTTCTACATTTCTTTCCTGTAAGATAAACAGGTAAAAAAATATTTAAGAATTTTTAAAACAGAAGCAAACAGACATTAATGTAAGCACTACAATTTTTCTTAAATTGATTTCCTCTTTAAAAATGATAAGCCAATACTTTTTAATTATTCATACAGCAAAGGAAACTCATTCCTTTAAAAGATTCCACACTGAACTGAATCAGTAAAAATTATTCTTAAAATAAATCATAATAAAGTACAGGACATTTTAATAGTAAACAGAAAGATATGTAATTACACAAAATTGGTTTAGGTAACATATATAAAATACTCAAAGCCCCAATAGGAAATCACTATTCAAAAACAAAAAAGCACAGTGAAGTCCACATCATACAAAGCCCTAAAGCAAATGAAAAATTTTTGAACCATTTGTACTCTAGTTTACAAAGTTTTTAAAAATTTGTTTTTCAGAACTAAACACAGAGAGAAATAGGGATTTCAGAAATTGCAGACTACATATAGATTTCATAATAGCATACCACCAAAAATAAAAAACAATCTTCCCTATATTTCCTATAAATACAAGCAGTGAGAATCTCAACCTAGAGCACCCTCCCTAATAACCAAGGAAAATAGGAAAAAATTTAAATGGCCAAATAGGAGCCATCAAACTTGTTTATATTCCAAAATTAGTTTGTAGGTAGCATACATGCAACCCAAAAACACTAGTTTCTGTGTATAATATATGATGATGTAGATTTTGACTCCTGAAGGGGTAAAATAAAGACATCTTAAGTTAGGAATAGTTCACAAACCTCACTAATAACAACTGTTATTCTAGCAACATTAAACAAATATATTCCAAAAGTATATTTAGTAATTAAATGTTTGAAGCTTATCATATTTTCCCATATTACAAATGGTAAATAGCTCACCAAAGTTATTTGACCCATGAAGTATCTGAATAGTAGTGTTAAGTATTATTCTTTCATTTCTGTGATGTAATTACGGACATCAGAAATAGCTCATTCCTTGGTAGGAGAAACTCTCCCAAAAGATGGGGGTACAAAGAATGAATGGCTTGATGATTTTGTAAAAGTCAATACTGACTTTGTAACAAATAGGCTTATTTAACTGATTTATTAATTCTCTATTTCTGCATAAGAAGAGGCAATATTTTGGCTCCACTGTAGAATAGGCCAGAGGTCTGGATGTACATTCCTCAGCTAGTTTGAAGTTAGTGAGACTAATTATAAATATATCTTATCAAATTTCCAAATCCTGATTTGAACACCTTAAACTATAAAAGGGATAATGACCTTCTAGTAATTTAACTGTCTTACCACTTCTTGAACTAAGCTGATGAGTTCCATGAGACGCCGACGAAGTTTGGCTACCTCTTCATTCACTTTAGTAACATGCTGCTCATAAATTTCTGCCAAAGGTTTAAAGGTATGTCCACCATGCTATTTAAATTAATAAGAATAGTTTTAGGAAATTTTCATTTATCTCATCTACATTTACATTCCTTCATTAAGACTTCATGGACACTAATAAATGGGTTAATATTTTCAAATGAATTTTATCTTTCTGGCTGCTGTTCTTTTGTTAAAATAGGCCAGAGCTTCAGTGAAATAAGTTAGGCAGAGAAAGACAAATACCAAATGATTTCCCTCGTTTGTGGAGTATAACAATGAAGCAAAACTGAAGGAACAAAATAGCAGACTCACAGACTCTAAGAAGGGACTAGAGGTTACCAAAGTGGAGGGGTGAGGGAGGGCGGGTGGGGAGGTAGGGAGAAGGGGATTCAGGGGTATCATGATTAGTGCACATGGTGTGTGTGGGGTCATGGGGAAGATAGTATAGCGCAGGGAAGACAAGTAGGGACTCTGTGGCATCTTACTACACTGATGGACAGTGACTGCAATGAGGCATGGCAGGACTCAATAATAAGAGTGAATGTAGTAACCACATAATTTTTCTTGTGAAACCTTCATAAGAGTGTATATCAATGATACCTTAATAAAAAAAAAAATAGGCCAGAGCTTGCTTAAAACCATTTGGTCCATGTAGGAAATTCAAGATTGTAGATAAAGGACTTTACCAAAATGTTTACACTTATCTAGAAATCTTTACTCATTAGAAAACCAAAATCATTAAACATAGCCCAAACATCTGACACAACCGTATCTACCAATCTTCTCTTTCTCAGCACTAGCCTTCTTCCTCCATGTCCTCAAATTTCTTCTCACCAAACCTTTGCAAAATTAACTTCTTCTTATTCAAAATTAATTTTCCTTCATCCTCCCTCCCCAAACTCGTACCTCTTAACTCATACTCATCCTTTGGATCTTGCCTGAGGTTTACAAAGTCAGGTTCCATATTCACTCTTATTGGCACTGTACACTTATTTATTTTTTTTTAAGGTATCATTGATATATACTCTTATGAAGGTTTCACAAGAAAAACAATGTGGTCACTACATTCACCCTTATTATCAAGTCTACCCCCACCCCTTTGCAGTCACTGTCCATCAGTGTAGTAAGATTCCACAGAGTCCCTATTTGTCTTCTCTGAGCTACTTCCCCATGACGCCATACACTGTCTTCCCCGTGACCGCATACACACCATGTGCACCAATCATGATACCCCACAATTTCCTTCTCCCTCCCTCCCCACCCGTTTATTTTTAATGCCTACCACAACAATAACTAGAACTAATTATTTGGTATATGTCTTGCTCTTCATTGAACCCCTCACGTCTAGGACAACTGAATAAATTATTAAGACATTTGAGGAAAAAGACCCATGGTATGCTACCCCAAAAGCAATGAAATCATTTCTCATTCCACAACAAGTTACTGTGGAGATAGAAAGACCATACAAATTCAAAAAAATAATATTTTGAAACTAACCTAAAATGAATTTTCTATCCAATTTTAGTATTGTAATTTATAACTCTTTTTATTGGCAAATAGAATTTAAATTTCTATTATAAGAAACGTCCTACAACAGATAATTCTTATTAGAATTGTCTTATTCAACCAAAACAACAAGCCATGATCTCTAAGATAAAAAAGACACAGATTTTTGCATGTCCACTTAAGTATGGAAAAGAACATTTCCATTGCTTTTGCAAAACCTGTGTATTTAGGTACTAAATTATGGGAACTTTATTTTTTCTAGTCAGTACATTAATATTCAAATTCGAACAGAAAGCTCTCTAAATTGAGCTGTATTCAACCAACTTGCCTGCCATTCTCTCCCTAAAATATGATGACTGATATTCAAAGAATGATCAATTCTCATTGCTATCAAGCATCAACAGATGTCTACCCATTTCTGCTCCCACTATGACTAACAATCCCCACCAAGAACCTATTGTTTATTCTCAAAACTATTTATGCAAATTGAGTTTATTACTAAGTACATGATATAAATATTAAACAACAGATGAATATAAATAAAAAGCTGTTTTAAAGAGAACTAACTTGAATATTTAGACCTCATAAAAGTAGGTTATCCTAAAAACTACTTTTGAGTTAGATTGGAATGAATGAATGAATGAATGAATGAATAAATAAATAAATCTAGACATTAGCATTCATATTGTTTCACAAATGTCTAAAGTTGCTATTCCACTTTAAAGAAACCAAAATTGGAAATTGTGACCAGAACATTTGATAAACTGATTTTTACTCAAAGAAGACACCTGGATTCTGCAATAATAAATCTGCAAATGAATATACATTTTACACATTTCAATTAAAATATTTATGTAAGGGCATACCTCCCACATCAAAATCTCCCACAAAAGTTTTTCTGGAATAACTGAAAATATGATACCATCTGCTATAATGCAAATATATTCAACTTTCATTCTATAAACAGAGTAAAACAGTATTATTTTCTATTTAAATCAAATATTTCAGTGCTTTGTTGTCTCTAATTCAAAATAATATGCTAAATGTGTTCTGCTCACCATTCCTCCCCAAAGTGCACACTGATGGCAGATACACTTCTTACAAGTCCAGCAAAATACACTAAGTTTTTCATGGTGATTTTCACATCTATATATTATGGAAAGAAAATACAGTTACAAATTAAATAAATTAAAATCGGAACATAATTACCTCAACAGATCCTAAGTTTGGGCATACAGTTTGGTCAATTTTGAACAAGTATATCTCAGGAAACACAATATAAAATGTATTCCATGGGTTCTATAAGTTAAGCTAGAGAATTACATGCAGACATAATTTTTTAAAATATTATTTCCATTAATCTGTAAGGACTTTACAATCACATGAAAATGCAGATTGGTTTCTAAGTATACATATATAAATATAACACCATTTTCTAATATCACTGAAGATGATATTCTGTCCTACTACTATGTTTCAGGCAAATCAAACTATTAATCTATATCAACATGAGCATGTACAAATGCACAAATATTTTTCCTACATGAAGCTAATGCTTAAAATAATCAAGACACATGTGATTAATCACAGAGTATCAAATCTTCATGAAAATAACTCAATTTTAAGAAGTAATTTTCTCTTAAATTGATATCTACATGTAAAACGAATGAAGCTACATCTGGTTATGAACTGAATTGTATCCCCCACCCCTCAATTACTATGTTAAAGCTCTAATGTAACTACTTGCAGATAGGGCCTTTAAGGAGGTAATGATGCTTAAATGAGGTCATAACAATGGAGCCCTAACCCAACAGGATTGGAGTCCTTACAAGAAAAGAAAGACCTTGTCTCCTTGCAAGTAGAGTAAAACAATCTACCTTTTCTTGCAGATCCTATTCATAAGGTTAAAAAAATTAAGATTGCCTTTTCCTTTTGAAACATTTAGATTCAATAAACTTGTAATTTTGAGTTTAGCACTCGTGAAAATAAATGAAATCTGACTTCATGTTTTTTAATGTTTACTCTTATTTCACAAATGGTTAAGGAATTATGCATATAAACAAGGAACCTAAGGGGTCTGCAGTCTCTACCCACACACTTGGGTATATTCTGAGTACACAGTTTATTCACATTTTGCTTCCTAATCTTTGTTCTACAGGGCCAGATTTCTTATCCTTACCACAAAATTATTCATATGTAAAGCACATCTTGCTAATGCCCTATTTTTTGTTGCTTTTGTTCAAGACAAGAATTATCAGTATGAGAATGTACATCTTTTATGCAACCAACTTAATAAAGAAGTTAAAAGAAAAGAAAGTTAAAGGGTCTTCCAAATAATGATACCTATACCATGCCAGAAGAAAAATACCTAAGTGTCCCCCTAAGAAACTAAAGGAAACTTTCAACAGTGTCATTAAAATAAGATATGGCAAAATCTATGAAATACATGAAGAAGGAAATTGAGGACAAAGAAATAACAAGTGTTGGTGAGGATGTGGAGAAAAGGGAACCCTTATACACAGCTGGTGGGATTGCAAATTGGTGCAGCCACTATAGAAAGCAGTACGGAAGGTCTCTCAAAAAACTACAAATAGGAACACCATATGACCCAGCAATTTCTTCTGGGAATTTACCCAAAGAAAACAAAATCAATAAAGATATATGCACTCCTATGTTTATCACATTATTTACAATAACAAAAATATGAAAACAACCTAAATGTCCATGGATAGATGAATGGATAAAAAAGATGAGGTATACATATATAATGGAATATTACTCAGCCATAAAAAGAGTGAAATCTTGCCATCTGTAACAAACAGATTGACCTAAAAGGTATTATGCTCAGTGAAACAAGTCATACAGAGGAAAACAAACACCATTTCACTGATACATGGATTCTAAAAAAACAAACAAATGAATAAACAAAACTAAAAGAGACTCATAAACACAGGGAACAGAGTGGTGGTGGCCGTAGGGGTGGGAGGGTGGGTAAAATAGGTGAAGGAGTTAAAAATTAGTGAGAATACTTGATATTTTGATCTGGATGATGGTTACATGACTGTATACCCATGTCAAAATCATCAAGCTGTACACTAAGATTTGTGCATTTCATTGTATGTACCTCAATATAAAAGAAAAAAAAAAAAAGAAAGCAAGAAATTGAGGGCGTACTTGTCCTTTTCATTTTCCTCATGTTTGGTGAGACTGCAGAGTTGAAGAGTATCAAGCTGTTGTGTTACTTCCTCTGCCCAACGACAGTTTACTAATTCTCGTAGCTGGAGTGGAGCACTAGAAAGGAAATACATACATATATTCTAATTCAGGAATTTGAGATTATTTTCTAAAATAAACACATTTCAAAGGTAAATGTGTAGTGATGGATGTATTAACTCGATGGGGGAATCCTTTAACAATGTACATGTATATCAAATCATCACGTTGTACACTTTAAATATCTTACAATTTTGTCAATTATACCTTAATAATGCTGTAGTAAAAAAAATAAATGATCAATCAAGGAAAAAATAAACAGATCACTCACAATAGAGCTCACAATCATATTCATACCATACTGCTATTAAAAGAATAACAGACACAATGAAGCATGGTTTGCAACTTACTTTTAAATTAATCTATCATATACAAAAATAACTGAAGGAAAAAATACTGACAATTCAGATTACAGACTGAAATCTCAATTCCTTAAGTCTAAATCTGTACTGTTCAAAATGATAACCACTAGTCACATGTGACTATTTAAATATAAATTCAAATTAATTAAATAAAAAGAAAAGTTCATTACACAGTCATATTAGATATATTTTAAGTGCTCAGTTGCCATATATAGCTAGTAGCAACCAAATTGGACAACAAAGCTATATAGAATATTTGCATCATTACAGAAAGTTCTATTTGATAGTGCTGGTCATCTTAAAAGTTGGTATGAAAAAAGTGAACAATACATGAAGAAAAATGGGCAAAGTATGTGAAAAGGTAGTGTAAGAAAGAAATATAAACTAAAAATGCTTCACAAAAGGTGCTCAGTTTCTACCATTTTCTTAAAAAGCATACTAAAAATGACATACCACTTTCCACTTAGCTGAATGACAAAAAATGACTGGTAATATACAGTGTTGACATGATTGTGAGGAAAAAGCACTTCTATATCTATTATTAAGAATGTAACATAAATACCTTTCCTTCAATGCAATCTGACATCATTATTTGAAATACCAAAAGTAGAAACTAAATGTATCTCAGTATAAGCATAAATAGATCGAAGCATAGTCACATAGTGGATCATTATTTAGACATTTTTTAAAAAATGACATGTGCACCTACCATCAAGGAACATAACACTGTATTTTATATTGGGGAAAAAAAGCAAATAATGAAACAGTATTATGTGTGTTTTCAGAAAATATTTGCATATTAACATCAGCATATATATACAGAAAAGTGTCTAGAAGAATAGATACCAAACCTAACAATTTCTTTCCAAAGTGTTATCTCATGAAAAGATTAGGTTGGAAGTATGAGAAATAGGAGCCTAATTTTACATCTATCTATATACTATGTGGAAAAAAACTTCAATTTTTTCTTCTTTAATTATAAAAGGTAAATTGAAAATTTCACAATGACTTTCTAAAAGATGATAAACAATGTAATGCATCCTATGTAATTCTAAATCAGATAAATTAGTCTGCATTTGTTAATCTAAACTGCTTATCTTCTCAGTTGTATTCACAAAAAGGAGAAAGGTGGCAGACTGAAGAAAGAGCTTCAAGAGTATTAATTAGGGCACACTCCAACCCTACCACCTTACTACTTTCCAAATTCACAAATAATCATAGCAAAACCCTTACCGACAATGAGGACACTGAGCTCTCTGCTCTGTCAGCCAGCGCTAAGGACACACACAAAAAAAAACAGATTTTGATTATAAAACACCATTACTTTAATTGGTCCATATCGAATACTCATATACCAGATTTAATGAGTTTAACTCTCTAGTGTGTACATTAATTATAGATACTTATAGAAACAGGCAATCTACTGTCTTCCTCTCATTATCATCATGACATAAATTTCAAAGGGACAGAACTCACTCCAAAATAGTTTCAAGAAGCTATTCTCTCATTGGACAGAAAGTGATCTAGGACTACCTAGATCTTCCAGAAATGTGCATAATCTTCACAAAAGTAATGACACTGTCACTGCCACTCCCAAAAATAAACCACAGTGATGATTTACTTCTAACTAACTTATCATAAAGTTAAGTTTAAGGTACTACTAAATTCCTTTTTAGGAAAGCAAACTAATTTTGAAGTATATAGATTATGGATATAAAAATTAGACCTAAAATATGAGTAAGCAATTATAGCAAAACTTTGAGTCTTAAAAGAGTTCTAAAATTCAGTAATTTAAACATCTACATAACTTGGCTTCTTTATAATTATAAAATGATTTTATAAGAGAATAATGTTCCTATTAAACCTCAGATTCTATTAGTCATTTTAATAAATATTGGATAGGGAGATGCTAAGATTTACTGATCTTTCTAAATATACTAACTCTATGGTTAAATACTTTGTTTTAACAGTCTGGCAAAATATTTAATATCTGGTAAACAGGTTCAGAGGTAATTAACTATACATGCCTATACCCATATTCTCCCAATGCCTGTTATTTCTGTTTATCCTTTCTACTTCTATATATAACATAAATTCTTACCTAAAGTCAACTAATTAACTCAGAAATAAAATTCCCAAGGAAACCTTAAAGCACAGTAAAAGATTAAAGGCAATAGGGAAAAAGGTACTGCACAGCAAATAAAGCTGGAAGATGAAAATAGAAAAGGATTCCTCCATGCTTAATTGAACATTATTTCTTCAGTCCCTCAGCAAAAATAAGATTTGGGTCAGGTTTCTTCCCCTCAAATAGTGCTCTGCTAAAGTCATAGCAGTCCTTCAAGGCTGGTCTCAGCCCACATCTCTCTAGCCTCATCTTCTACCTCACCCTAGGAGCCCCAAGTTAAGCAATTTCTTATGTTTCACCTCTCTGCCCAGGTGTTGTCTTCAACTAGGTTATCCCTAGTCAGTTTTTAGATTTCAGTTTATATGTCACTTCCTCCAGAAGCTTTCTCTGACTCTAAAGACTACTTTAATACCACTGCTATGCTCTACCACAGCAACCTATACCTCTCCCTTCATTGTGCTTTTAACACTTCTATTACACTGACTTATTTGTTGGTCTACCCTTCCCTGTCAGAGTATAAGCTCTATAAAGATCAGGACCATCAAAGGAAGTGACCAGTTCATATTTTTAAATATGTCCCTCCCTTCCAGTCAAAACAGGCTTATTACATATTTGTGTATTTGCTATTATTTAGTCTCTCTCTCCATGTGCTGTCCCATGGGAATGTCCATTGACATAAAACTTTTCTGCCTATTCCAGGCTAGTGTTCTTCTTTTCTCTAAACATCTGTCACATTTTTACCTTGTATTCCATAATCTAAATTAATCACAAAATATATATAGCAATTTTAATACTTTGGGGAAAACAATATTTCTCCCAAACCAAAACCAAAGAACCAATGATACAATATTAATGCAAAAGCAATGTTAAAGGAACATCTTTATAACAACTGCCCACATTCAATTTAAAAATTAATTTCTCTCCTTCATTAAAATGAAAGAATCATAAGCATTAGTACTGGGACCTGAACTCTGGTACTTATGACTGCAAGACACCAGACATGTGACTGAACTCATTTCCTCACATGCAACAAGAGAACCAACATACCTACTCTGCAAAACTGTGCTAAGAAAATCCTCAGCAAAAAAATTAGAAAACTGAATGCAAAGGTATTATTAAAAATCTATACACCATGACCAAGTGGGATTTATTCCTGGAATGCAAGGATAGTTCAACATACAAAAACCATTCAATGTAATATGTCATAATAAATAAAATAAAGGGGAAAACCCACATGATCATCTCAAATGATAGAGAAAAGACATCTGATAAAATCTAATATCCTTTCATGATAAAAACACTTAAGAAATAAGTGAACTTCATCACCTTGATGAAGTTCATATTTTAAAAAATCTACATTGAACATCATATTCAATGGTAAGACTGAAAACTTTTCCCTTAAGATCAGGAAAAAAAACAAGGAGAACTGCTTTCAACACTTCTAGTCAACACAACACTGACAATTACAGCCTGAGCAATTAAATAAGAAAAAGAAGTAAGCACTCAAATTGGAAAAGTAAAATTATGTGTTTGCAATAATATAATCTCCTATGAAAAAAATCCTAAAAATTCCACAAAAAACTGTAAAATAAGCAAATTCACCAAAGTTGCAGGATACAAAACCAACACACAAAAAGCACTTGCTTTTCTCTACACTAGCAATGAAGAATCCAAAGAGGAAATTAAGAATACATTTGCAATTGCATCAAAAAAAGAAAGTAAAATACCTAAGAATAAATTTAGCCATGGAGTTGAAAGATTTGAGCATGGAAAGGTACTAAAACATTGCTGAAGGAAGCTAAAGTCCTAAGTAAATGGAAAAACATCCCATATTCATGGACTAGAAGATTTAATATTGTTAAGATGACAATGCTACCCAAAGCAATCTACAGAATCAATGCAATTCCTGTCAAAGTCCCAATGGTGCTTTTAACAGGAAAACCCATTCTAAAATTCAAATGGAATATCAAAGGACCCCAAGTAGCCAATACTAACTTGAAAAAGAACATGTACACCTAAAATTCATATATCTCCATTTCTTAATAAAGAACAATGTTAGAGGACTCAGATTTTACTGATTTCAAAATTTACTACAAAACTACAATTAACCAAAACAGTTTGGTACTGGCATATGGACAGAAAAAGAGACCAATGAAATAGACTAGTGAGTCCAGAAATAAACCCAAAAGGACAAATATTACATGATTCCATTTATTCTATTATGATTCCACTTAGACTAGACAAATTAATAGAGACAGAATAGTGGTTACCAGGGGCTGGGGGAAAGGTTAATGGATAGAAGTAATGAAAGTAGGGCACCCTTGTCTTTTCCTTCATCTTAAGAGTAAGCTGAGGTACCACTGCATACTTATGAGAATGGCTAAAATTTAAGACTGAACATTCCAAGTGTTGAAATTAATGTGGAACAACTGGAACTCTCATACACTGCTGGTGAGAATGCAAAATGATGCAACTATTTTAGAAAACAGTTTGACAGTTTGTTAAACAGATAAACGTAACTATCATCTGATCTAGCCATTCCATTCTAATTATTCACCCAAAAGAAAAGACAGCAGAAGTCCATTCAAAGACTTGTATACAAATGTTCATAGTGGTTTTCTATGTAAATGCCAAAACCTAGAAGCAAACATTGTGTCCATTAACAGATGAATGGATAAACAAATTGGGACATATGCATACAATGGCATGCTACTATTCACCAACAAAAAGGAATGGAATTGATACACACAGCATAGATGCATCTTAAAATAATTTTGCTTAGTTAAAAAAGACAGACACATAAGAGTACATACATACTGTTAAGATTCCACACCTACAAAATTCCAGAAAAAGCAAATTTATCTGTAGTGAGAGAAAGCAAATCAGTGGTTGCCTGGGAATGAGACAAGTAGAAGGAAGAATTACCAAGAGGCACAGAGAAACTTTTGGGGATTAGATATGTTCATGTCTTGACTGTGGTAATGTTTTCTCAAGTGTATATATCTGTCAAAACTTATCAGACTATACACATTAAACATACACAGTTTATTGTATGTCAATTATACCTAGGTAACAAAAAAAGGGCTGCAAAAATTTGAAAATAAAACAAATTTAATAATTACAGGCAACCATGAAGTGCTACCAATGCTGAAAATCAAGAAAGGGTCAAAAAAATCTGGATAAGAAAGAAAGAGAGAAGAAAAAGCAAGGGAAAAAATACAAAAATATGAACAAGAAATGAAAGGGAAGCAACTGAGTGTAGCTACAAGAATGAAGGAGATCTGGCCTGAAAACAGCCAATGTTCCCACCTTTTGCTGTGAGGAGGATTCAGTAATGCAACAGCCTTGGGAATAAGTCCAGTCCTTGTCTGTCATCAACTACCAGATGACTCTGAACCAGTCTATTCATCAGTCTAAACCTTTCTTTTATTCAATGACACAAGTATCCAGATTGTCACAGATAATTACATTTCCGTGGTCAAATGAACATAACTAACCTACTCCTCTCTGTAATATGTTTTCCACTTGAATTTTGTGATGCCTCAATCATAGCAACTTCTTCTTATTCTGTTGAGTCCTCTTCTTCCCTGTTGAATATCCCAGAGTTCAGACCTAAAACTCTCTTCCCAGAGGAGGTAATCTGGTGATTTTACCTAATCCCCTGGCTTTAAATACTACCGATATGCTAATAAATCAGTATCTCTAACATCCCCTTCCTCAACTCCAGATTCGTATCTCCAATTGCCAATATTTCGTTCTATATATAATTAACATCTCAAACTTGACACATTTAAAACAAAACTTAAACATCTATAGCCAATCTGCTCCTCCCCAACTTTTTCTATCTCAGAAAATTGGAAGACCATTCATTCAGCCAAATGTGATACAAAACCTTCCTCACATCCCATCTGTAAACAAATCCATTGGTTCTACCTTCAAGATATATGTAGGATTGCCATATTTTTCATTACCTCCACTGTTAGCATTCTAGTTTAAACCAACATTCATTTAGTCAAAACCACCATTCACTAATAAAGCACTCGCTAAATGGTCTCATTTCCTCTCCCACCTGCCTAGTTTCCTTTCCACACAATAGCCAGAGTGATCACTTTTAAAATATTAATTCATATCATTCAAAAGCTTTCAATA